AAGAGAAAACTGCATTTAAAACTGAAAAAAATGGATTATTTCACTACAAGGTGATGCCGTTTGGGCTAAAAAGTACTGAAGCTACATGCCAAGCGTTGTGAACAAAATGTTTAAAAACCTCGAAAATACCATGAAGGTTTACATCTATGGTATGGTGCGAAAGACCTCACAAAAACATTTGATTTGATAAAAAAAAAAAAAAAAAACAAAGAGATTAAATCCAAGAAAATGTGCATTTAGGGTTTCATCAGGGCAATTCTTGGGCATATAGTGAGCAAAAGACAGATTGAAACCATTCAAACCTAACTTAAGAATTTACTAAAAAATGCAGAAAAACCAATACTATGAAGGATGTACAACATTTGGTTGAAAAGTTATGACACTCGGCAAATTCTCATCTCCAAAATTTCTGGTAAGTGCAAGTCATCTTCGAAGGGTGTGAAAAAAAGGCAAGATGTTGCCTTAACAAGGAGCAGAATTATTCTAAATTTGACCAATTCTAAAGTTTTACTTAGCAAATTACTATTTAGAGAAGAAAAAGGAAAGCAAAGACTAGAATTCTATGTGAGCAAAATATTACGGATGTAGAGCGGAGGTACTAAGCGAAGGATAAATTAGTTTTGACTTTGGTTCGTGTAAAGAGAAAACTAAGATATTATTTTGAAACATACACTAATATTATAGACAAAAGATATTATTTTGAAACATACACTAATATTATAGAGAAAAGATATTATTTTGAAACATACACGATAATATTATAGACAAATTAGCAATTAAAAAATAGTATTGTTAAAATCACGTTTATCAGGCAGCTGACAAAACAGAAAATAGAGCTAAAGCTGATCGATATACAGAATAAGAAAAGAAGAACAAAGAAACTGCAAGTTCTTGCCGATTTTATTTTGAAGAGTGTTTTGATGGGAGCAGAGAATGAAGAGAAAGAATGAGGAAGAAGATGCAGAACCATAGGATCTAAAAGCAAACAGAGCTAGCAACAAGTATCATAAATGAGCAGGAATAATACTGAAAAATGAAGGACTGTAGTTGGAAACTTGGAACATTCAATCAGTTTAAGCTTTAATGCAACCAAGAAAGTGGCAAAATATGAGGCATTATTACTAGGACTTAAGTTAGCAAAGGTATTAACGATTAAAAGGCATTGAAAAAAGTAGTTTTGGTATTTTAAAAAATTGAATCATTTCAGAGGGCATGCCTTATGGCTTATTTTATAAACACATCAAATATTTTAAACATTTGTATGATAAGAGGGATAAAAGTAATATTTTGAGGTACTTTTTTGTTAAAAAAACGAAAAGAAAAACACTGAGGACAATCCAGAATAAAAATACGAAAGAAGTTTTTTTTGTAAATAAAAAAAAAGAGAAGAAGAAAAAGTAGAAAAATCAAGAAAGAGTTAAAGGTTAAAAAAACAAAATAAAAATAAAGCATTGAAACAAAATTCGACCACGACAAGCGTTTTGGTTGAAACCCAAAACGGTAAAAGCATTGAAGGGATAAGTCAGATATGTTGTCCGATTTATATTGTTTGAAAAAATTCAAAAGTATCTCCCTAATTTCATCAAAATAATATCCACAAGTTTTAACTAAGAAAATAGTATTCTTTATTGTTGGTATGCGAAGGCATACAACAATATATTACCTTTCTTAAGAATACTGCGGAAGTGTTGGCTTTAATTGGGAAAAGTTTGGCTGTCAAACAAGTTATTTGTTTGATAGAGGAGAAGTTATTTGTTTGATAGAGGAGAAAATTAGGGCCAGTTTGGTTTACAAATTCAAACAAGTAATTCGGATTCATATTCAAAATTTTTATGAGAGAAATATTGGTGGAAATTTTTTTGATTTAAATTCTTTGTAATAGAATCAAAATCATAAGTTCAAGAAAAAATAGAAAATTTATTTTTAAGAGTCAATGAATCTAGACTTTTACCCCGTACTCTTGATAAATATCATTTTGTTAGTGTAATTATTTAACTAAAAAAGTTATGAATCAAGAGTAAAAGGTAAAAATCTTGACTCATGCACTTTTAAGTAGTATTTGTTAAGATTACACGTAGTTCAAATACGTTTACCAAATGGGCTCTTAACTATAGATGTTGATTAATATGGACTTTAAAAGGAACTACCACATGTTTTAGACTTAGATTGACATATGTCAGGGGACATAAACTATTACAGAAAATACCAAAGCTATGTCATCACACTTTATTTAGAATATCAAATATATCCTATCGGTGTCCGGCCACGATACTAGTATCCAAATGAGCTACTTGCACTGCCGGTATTGGCAGCAATCTAGCCGTCATAGTTGCGGTGGCGATATCAATCAGTATCTGATTAGTATCTTTCATGATGATCAATATTACCTAAGATACTAGACAGTATACGCCCGAATATCAGATGGTTACCGATCGGTATCTCTCGGTAACCACCATCACTGACGGTGGCAGCGTCGCCAGAATAATAAAAAGAACACAAAACGGCACAAAAATCCATCCAAAACAACTGAAAACATGAAAAACTAATCATTTTACGAAATCACATTCTCCATCTCTCTCATCTTCTTCTGAAGATTGTCAAACAAGATGTCAAAGCTTCGACAAGATGTATGGTGGGAAAGAGATCTCCACGGCAGTCATAATAGAGATCCTGAACTCCACGATCTGCGACGGAGATTCCCAAATGATCCCTAAGTATAACCGCAAGAGACAAATTACAGTGAGCTCGGTGGCGACGAAGGAAGATTGATCTCCTCCATCCGGCTCTGTGTCGATGGAAAGAGATGCGAGGCCATTGGCGACGAGGGAAGACAAGTAGAGATCTCTCACCATCGAGCTCCTTGTGCGGCTTTGTGGTTCCAGTTGACTTCTGGTGGAGATGCACCAATGAAGAAGATGGAGGCGACCTTCTACGAAACCTAAGGCCTCGTTCGCTTCTCATATTCGAGTTTTTAATTTGAGCTGAGATGTGACATTTTCTAAAAGCTTTTAACTGTAGTAGAAAAAATTAAATGTGATATTTTCTGAGAGTTTTTAACTGTAGAAACTTAAAACTGAAAAGTTGAATCAGTGAAATGAACGAAACGTAAGTAATTAAAGGGTAATTTGGTCCCTGGCATCTTTTGCAGTAGTATGTACCGGTAAAAGTCAATCCACAGCCCCTTTTTCTGGCACTTTGCCTAATTATCTCGATTAGTATTGTAAAGAGGTTATTTGATGTTGGGGTAATGCAAAATTAAGTGGGTGGTTGTTATTTTGGAAGAGGTCTCCTCAAGAAAGCGGATTGATTTTGTTTTTTTGATTGTTTACTCAAATGCGTTTATGGTTGATGTTCAATTTTGGTTAATGTTTAAATTTTTGAAATTTTGCCTTTGAAATATATATATATATTTTGTAATACTTTAGTGATTTGTACTTAGAGTTATAATTAAAATACAAATTATTGGCGGTATTTTTATTTAAAAATTAGCATATTATTTTTTTTAAAAATTCTTTAAGAAATATAGGGAATACTTTTTTGATCAGTTATAACTTAGGGTATATAATATTCTGATGAAATTCAGTGGATACTTTTCAATGTTACCTTATCTTTATTGTTTAATTTATTTTAATCCTTAAACTAAAAAAACCAAGACCAATATCCCTTAAACTAAATTATATAAAAAAGACATGTTAATTATTTAACATTTTTTTTTAAATTTAAGAAAAAAGATATAATTATCTCATTTGATTGTGAGAAGTAATCTCATTGGTAGTTCATTAATTTAAAAAAGCCTTTTTAAGTGGTCTCATTTAAGTTACTTTTTAAGAGGAAATGAGATAAATATCTCTTAAAGTGTATGACTCTAAATTTTTATCTTTTATTTTTAATTAATATCTTTTTTAGTCAAAGAATTATATTAGATAAAAGGGTATTAATAAAAAATAAAGGATACAAATTTAGAATTATGTACTCTAAAAATAAGTTGAACAATTTTCTTATATTTTAAAGGTCTTCTACGAGTAAATATAGTATTTACTCAGTGGTAATCGCAGTGGTATCATTGGTGGTCTCATTCAAAAGGCCTTGTACCTGTAGATTGGCCACCGGGCATCGTGACAAAGAGAGAGATTGATAAATTGAAGGAGATAATTGGCTAAGTGAGAAACCAAAAAAAATAAATAAATAAATAAATGAAAACCCTACGAGCAAGGATAAATTTAGAAATGATTATTTAAAAAAAAAATAGAAATACATGATATGCTATAATTTACTAACATTAAAAAGTATGTTATAAATTCAATAGGGCATGTCTAACTTTTTTCCTTTTCTCTTGACATCATTCTCAGATAATAATAAAGAGAAAAGGAGATAAATACCCTTTAAATATTTAATTTTTTTATTTTTATCCTTTATACTTAATTAATACTTTTTAGTAAAAAAATATATTAGTTAAAAATGTATTAATGAAGAGTAAATAATACACATCTTAGAACAATGTGTTCAATTTTATGATAAAAAATGAAAAATTTACCTTTGAGATTGTATGAGTTTGAATTTTTACCTCTTATTTTTGATAAATTTCCTTTTATTAGTGTATTTGACTAAAATAATTATAAATTAAAAATAAAAGATAAAAATTATGACTTATATATTTTCAAGGGGTATTTGTCCATTTATAATTGGGCTCGGTAGAGTCAACCCTTTCACGAGGCCCAAATATCTTAGTAAATATTTAGTTTATAAATTTAAAATTATGATTCAGAATTATTTTTGATTTATGCGTATTTTTTTTAAGTCTCGAGTCGACACAGATTTCTTGAAGTCCACCGACATAAGACGGGCCTAAACGACTTGGCGGGTTAGGATGGGCTCGTCGAGCTGGGCTGGGTAGCCGCCACGAAGCCCCAGTCCCAAGAAAGAAAACAGCCTATAAAAAAAATAAACAAATAAAAAATAAAATGCGGTATAAATATAAAATTGCAATACAGAAAGGTAAATTAGAAAAACCTGGAGCTCAACGAAGGCAAGGCAAACACTGTGAATAGAATCTCTCTCGCAACTCAAGGCAAAAATTGTGAATTGAATTTGAAACTCCAATGTGAGTGCCTGATTTCCTCTTTGCTTAATATTGATTTTATCATCTTGTATTATATATTTGTTCAGTTTTGATTTGATTTTCTTTTTTCGCTGAATTTGTAATATATATTTTAGGGTTCTCAAAAAACTGGAGTCTTTCCAGTTCCGATACTCATTTTCCTGCGTTTTTGTTCTTCAACGCTTATCCTATTACACACACACACATATATATATATATATAAGTATATAAATTCATATGCACATCTTGTGTGCTCGTTTTATAGCAATCATGGCAAACGAGAATGAATTGAAGGACGAAGTGGCAGAGGTAATTCACTATGCATTTATCTTTTCACATTTTATTTGTTTATTTTTACTAAAATAGTGCTTTGTCGTTGCTCTTATGCTCAATTTTTGAGGGGTGCATCAGTTTCTTAAAAGTTTTGGATTTATGTTGAATTGATAAATGAGTGTAAAAGGATTGAGGGTTTATACTACGAGACTAGTGATTTTCTTTAATCATAAACCGGCTTAAGTGGAGCTGCGTATCTTGTTTCTGATGAATCTTCATATTTGCAGATTGCTCAGTTCGATCCTACCAAAAAGAAGAAGAAGAAGAAGGTTGTTTTTCAGGATGCCGTGGATGATGCTGTCGAAAATTTGGCCGAGAAAACCGAAAACCTTTCGGGTATTCATATCTGACAATCATCAATACTCCATGATGTTTTCTTTCTGTTTTTGTATTTTTGTGTGTGTGTGTGTGTGTGTATATATATATATATATATTGGTATGACTTTCTTCACTACTTTGCAGTTTCTGATGGGCTTGAAGGTACATTTTCTGGCTCGAAGAAGAAGAAGAAGAAGCCGGTGCGTGGTCATATACTATTAGAGTTGGGAAGATTGATATTGTTTCCATTTTGTTTCCATCTCTTTTAGCTATTCATTTTTTATGCTTGGCGTGATTGTAGGTTGAAAGTAATATTTTGATTGACGAGAGTGGCGATGCACCGGAAGAGTTAGAAGGTAAAAAATTTGTATGCTAAGTGTTTTCATTGAAGTCTGGACTTAGGAATGGCTTTCGCTATTCGTTGACCATCTTCTTGAGGATACCTAAGATTTTGTATTACCTCCTAGATCGTACGGGAGATGATGGAGATGGAGAAGGAGGAGGAATTGTTCTGCATTCACGTTATCCTTGGGAAGGGAGTGACCGGGATTATGCATATGAGGAGGTATAATTATCACATTACTCAAGTACTAGAGAAGCTTCTTAATTATCGGCTAGATTCTATTTTATGCCATTGTGCTTGTGATTTTCCTTTTGCAATGCTGCATGCTATAAATACGGTGCATTTAACTGCGTTAGCTTATATCATTGTTTGAGTGGATTGCGAATGTTCGTTTGCATATGGTCACCTTCCTAAGGCGACATGTGGTCACTTTAGCTTCTACTTAGATTTGCACAATATTAAAATCTGCAACTACTTTCTCTCCATTATCTTTTAGAAGAGTGATTTGGTTTCTGCTTTACTGGGTTGAAGGTTTGACTTGTATCGATCTCAGAACTAATTTTTGTGGAACCTAGCTTGTAAAATGTGGTGTTAAAAAAATGGCTTGCAAACGTGTTTGCCACCGGATCCACAGGTGAAGTCCCCACACTGTACCGCAGCAAAGGCGGAGGAAGCCGTCCATAAACCGCCTGAAAAGGGGTCATTCGGGTGGCAGTGTGGAACGAAGTATTGTACCAATATTCTGACCAAGCCAACCATTTATGCCACTGCCCCGGCTTATCAGAGGTAAAGCACCGCAAATAAGTTTCCACACACCTATTAACCACTTTGGATTGCCCATCGGACTGTGGATGGTACGCCGTATTGCGCGAGAGAGTAGTGCCCATCTGTTTGTGCAGGTCAGTCCAAAAACGGCTAAGAAAAATACGGTCACGATCCGATACGATGGTGCGAGGGACCCCATGCAACCGCACTACCTCCTGGATAAACAGCTTGGCGACCTTTTCTGTAGAAAATGGGTGCCTCAAAGCGATAAAGTGGCCATACTTGCTTAATCGGTCAACGACCACCAAGATAGTGTCGTACCCCTCCGAGCGGGGTAGGCCCTCAATAAAATCCATGGACACATCTTCCCACACCTGCTCGGGAATGGGCAAAGGCTGCAGTAGCCCACCAGGGGCCAATGTGGATGCTTTACATCGTTGACATACCTCACACCGTGCCACATACGCGGTTACATCTCGTTTCATCCCAAGCCAAAACCAATCGGCCGCGAGTCGGCGGTAGGTCTTCAAGCCCCCTGAATGGCCACCCCACACCCCGTTATGATAAGAGTGTAACAAACGTTGAACAACCGGAGAAGTACGAGCCACCACCATTCTTCCCTTATACAACAAGCGGCCTTGTCGGATAGTATACCCTGGTATGCTGCCGGGTTGTGGGGTAAATCTGACCAAATTTTCGCTAGACGTTCATCCTGCAACACTTGCTAATGGATGTCTTCGGTATTGACAAAAGTGGACGCTGTCATGGCGGCCATAGCTGGGCCGACTACGCGCCGTGACAATGCATCCGCTGCTCTATTCTCCACCCCAGGCTGATACTGGATCTTGAAGTCATACCCCAGTAGCTTGGTAAGCTACTTTTGATGTTCCATGTTAACTAAGCACTGCTCTAGCAAGTACTTAAGGCTACGCTGATCCGTCCGGATAAAAAAATGACGCCCAAGAAGATACGACCGCCACTTTTGAACTGCCAAAACAATGGCCATCAACTCACATTCATAAACTGACTTGTTCCGCACCTGAGTGGATAGGACTTGGCTGAAATAAGCGATAGGCCGTTGATCTTGCATCAAAACTGCCCCCACTCTAGATCCTGATGCATCTGACTTGAGAACAAATGGTTTCGTGAAATCCGGAAAAGCTAGCACCGGCACCCGCGCCATAGCAAGCTACAACCCCTCAAAAGCATGCATGGCCTCTGCATCCCATCGAAAACTATCCTTCCGGAGCAAGTTAATTAAGGGCCCTGCAATTTGACTATACCCCGCCACAAACTTCCGGTAATAACCTGTCAATCCGAGAAATCCCTGTAATTCCTTCAAGTTGGCGGGAGGCGGTCAATTAACCATGGCCTCTATTTTTGTCGGATCAGCCGAAACTCCCTCAGCAGACACAATATGGCCAAGGTACTCAATTGAACGTTGCCCGAAACTACACTTCTTAGCATTGGCATATAATTGATGTTGTTGCAAAACCGCTAACGCCTGGCCGAGGTGGTATCCATGCTCCTCCAAAGAGTGGCTATAAATAAGAATATCATCGAAAAAAACGAGTAAGAACTTACGGAGGAAAGCTCATAGAACGTCATTCATAAGCGATTGAAAAGTCGCCGGAGCATTCGTAAGTCCAAAGGGCATAACGAGAAACTCGTAATGTCCCTCATGTGTACGGAATGCTGTCTTCAGCACGTCCTCGGCTTTCATTCTAATATGATGATAACCTGACTTAAGGTTGGTCTTGGAGAAAATCGTGGCCCCATGTAATTCATCCAGAAGTTCTTCTATCACAAGAATGGGAAAACGATCGAGAACCGTCTCTCTGTTCAAAGCGCGGTAATCCACGCAGAATCTCTAACTTCCATCTTTTTTCTTTACTAACAAAACTGGACTGGAATACAGACTGACACTTGGCTGTATTATGCATGTCGCTAACATCTCCCTAACCAACTTCTTAATTTCCGTTTTCTGTATGTGAGGGTACCGGTGTGGTCTAACATTTATAGGGGAAGTCCCTTCTTTCAAAACAATTGCATGGTCTTTGGTTCTAACCGGTGGCAGTTCTTCTGGCATTTCAAAAACTCTCATATCTCCTCAACACCATTTGCAATTCCAGAGGAACTTTCTCCTCTTTAACAAACTGTTCCACACCAAGAGTCCCTAACTCTACCCAAACCCCTTGTCCTTCATGTCTCAGAGCTCTCATTAGAGCCTTGAGAGTAACTGGCGACTTGTTTAACCCCGGATCTCATCTTAATGTCACCTGCCTTTCAGCCAAACTGAACTTCATAAGCAAAGTCTTTCCAATTCACTGACAAGATGAATTCCTAATATCTAATCTGAACTCCCTAGTTCTAATGGCAAGAAATTTCAATTTCTGAACCAAGTCACACACAAGATGAAATTGTGGGTGGCCCCACTGTCTATTAAAACAATTTCCTTGCATTCTTGGACGACCGCCTTAAGGTTCATGGTTTTCGGTGCCGTCAGACCAACCACCGAGTTAAGGGATAATTCCACCATCTCCTCTTCTTATGGCGGCTCATCCCCCTCTTCCACCGCTTCCCCTTGATTTTCCTCTCTCGGACTATCAAGACTTGCAGCTCGCGGTTTGGACAGCGATGGCGTACGAAGTATTTTCTGTCACACTGGTAACACAAACCCTTTTCTCTCTTTCCTTGTAACTCGGCATCGGTCATACGCTTGAATGGCACTGCTCCGGTCCCAGTCCTAGTGCCCTGATTACTTATCTTTCTTTCCTCCAGAAACTTCCCTCTCTCAGTTGGCGCCCCACTGAAACGTGTTCCAAAACTAGAAGTTGTTGGGCCCCCTTTAGATTCATTTAATAAATTTCCTTTACCCCAACTTGAGTGCTGTGGGCCTTGCACTTTTGGGCCACGTACCAAAAGGTTACGCTTTTCTATCTCTGGGCTACCTCCATAATACGACCCAATCCCTTGGGCTTTATCAAATCTAATTTCTGCATGTACATCTAGTTTTAAACCATTCACGAAGGAGTTCTCCAGAACCTGCTCGGAAATGTCCCTCAACGGTGCTGCCAAGACCTCGAATTGCCTCCGATATTCCCTCACCGACATTTCCTGCCGTAGCGATAAAAGTTTCTCACACAAGCTGCCTTCCTGCGTTGGTTGGAAACGCTCAAGGATCATCACGTTCAATTCCGCCCAATTTCGAATCACCCGCTGGCCATCCTTCCATTGAAACCACGCCAAAGCTTCTCCGTCAAGACTTACAACAGCTACATCCAATTTCCCATTCTCCGGTAATCCGTTCATCGCAAAATACCTCTCGGTCCTAAAAACCCCACATCAGGATTTTCGCCGTCAAACGTCGGCATCTCAACTCGCCGGGTCCGACAATCCATGCGAACTCCGGATTCTCGCGGAGCCCTAACTCTCTCGCTCGTCTCTTCTTCCGGCGCCATCTGTTTCGTCGGTACATCCATTTCGGCCGTCGGAGAATTCTGACGCTCATGGCTCTGTAGTTTCATCAATTCCTCCATTTTTGACAACAGTAAATCCATACCTTGCTCCAGCCGAGGAATCTTTTACTCAATTCCTCTTGCACCTCCTCTAATTCCCTTCGCGAACTCTTCTCTCGATCCATCAGCTCTCTCCTTTTCACGGTCGTCGGTTCTCCTCGTCATCCCAGAAAAGTGCTCTGATACCAAATGTTAAGTTCCAATCCAACAACTAGTTGAATAATGAAAAATCAGAATGAGAAATGCTAACAGGAAAGCTTCGATTAGTGGCGGAAATCGGTTACAGAAAGAGATATGGGGATATTCGAGAGATCCCTTGCTCTCCCTAGTCTATCTTCTCTCGGAAGTTTCGCAAACTGAATGAATGGTCCCTTATTCCCCCTTTGTTCTATTTATACTCACTATCTCTTAAACCACTCACCAATCCCAAGGCCTAACTAACTACTAACTGCTTGCTGACTCAGACCCACCCTTCTTCCTTTCCTCGAGTGCCCCCTCCTCCTCAGCAAGTACCCTTTGAGTTGTCCCTCTACTTGCACTTCCCGTTCCACTTCCTTCTGTTGCCGACCCTGTCACATGCTGGCGCCTCCTTCGAGCATATGTATAACGCACGGGAGGCTTATCAGTTTGCCATTCAGGGGGCGTTTGGTATGCAATAATCTTTAGATGGGAATATGAATCTTCTCACATTCCTACGTTTGGTACAAGAATTGCAATTTTTACATTCCTGAGAGTAAATCCCATGGGATTCACTTTACCCCAAATTAGGATAGTCTGAATAACACCCAATAGGGTGTTATTCAAATGCCCAGGAATCTCATATTTATGGGAATCTCACCAAAATAATCGAAATTACAGCCCATCCTCACCACCACCACCTTGCCAGCCACAACCTTGCCACCGGCCACCACCTCCCCACCTTCGACTCTCTCTATCGTC